CGGGGCAGGGGCGGCGCGGGAGGGCCGGAGGCGCCGGGCCGAGGGGCTGCGGGAAACAAAGGGCACTGGGGAGGAGAGAGACCCGCGGGGAGGCGAGAGGGGAGAGGAGAGGAGAGAAGGGGCGAGACCTGCGGGGACAGAAAGGGAGGAGAGGCCGGGAACGGGGGGAGAGAAGCTGGTGCTGGGCAAAGGTAGGGAAAAGGAGGATTCCTGCGAGGTGGCAAAGGGACTTCCTCTCCTCGGCACCCGAGATGCCGCCCGGCTTCCAGGCGCTTCTGTCAAGGCTGAGCTTTGCTGCTGAGATCTGCTCCTTTCGAGGGCAGGTGACTTCTGATAAAGCCCCAACAGCGGGAAGAGGTAAAAGCATCCTTTATTCCCATCCTTCTTCCCAAGTGATTTTTATTGCCGTTTAAACCGAAGGGTTTTTAAGCTGTTCTGAGATATTACGGGCTCTGACTCATGCCTTGAATACTCGTGAGCAACACCGGGTGTGCAAGGAGGAGCCAGAGGGGCGTGGGCCCCTCTGAGAGGTGGACTCAGTGCATGTGTCCTCCTAAATCCCGGGTCAACCTGTGGTGATATGACCAGAGATAAACCTCTGGAATTCTAGAAGCACCGACTTGATACAGCTTCTTACATCCAGTGGCTTTGATGCTGTTTGCATCTCACCTGCTTCCGAGAGCTAAATAATCATCACGGGGAGAGGAGTCACAAGGCTGGCGAGGGGATGGAGAGACGCGCGGAGCCCGGGGAGGGTCGCTGCAGGGAACGGGATGTCAGGAGGCAGCTCCGGCATCTGGCAGGCAGCCGGGGCGGAGAGGAAGGCGGCGCTGGATGAGCAGAGAGGCTGTAGTGATGCCCAGACCCCGAGGTTACCTTAACTGCAGTCGTTCTGAAACCCAGGGGGGAAGAGGGGGCCGCTGGCCGCACAGGGAGGAGGGTGTTAGTGCTTGGGATGGCTCTGGAAATGGTGATTTGCGTCGGGGGTTGATTGCAACCTTGATTTTGAGGGCTCTGCTTGTCGCACCTGACTCTGCGTTTCTCCCGATGCGTTTTCCTTTGTCCTGTTTCTGTAATTATCCTCATTTCAACCCTGCTCGGAGGATTATTGGTCAGTAGGAAGCCTCCTAATGCCCGCTCCTCCTTGGCAGGGGAATACCCATGCCCTCGATTAAAGTCAAACTCTCCGAATGGTGACACAAGAAATTAGATCTATATTTCTCAAAGACACTCCCCCGGGCGAAGTTTCCCGACCCCCACCACGGCAGCACTGCCACCCTGCCCCTTGTGTTCGCTCTCAATATTCTCTTTGTTACAGCCACCTTTCTGTACGGCTCGGGGCTCCCCGGGGAGGGTGGTTTGTGTTGGGAAATCCTCGTGCCCGTGTCCCGGGTGGACACACCGACCCGGCCCACTGCAGCCCGTGCCCGGCACAGACAGTTCTCTGTTCCGAAACTGGGCTGAGGAGCCAACTTTAATAGGCAGGGGAAGGCTGCTTCCCCGAGACGCTGGGCAGTCGTTAGCAGAAGGCGGTCCCTCTAAATGATTGATTTTTGAGAGTCCCTCGACTGGTGGTTTAAGAACAGCGTTTATTCAATCTATAGACCATAGATACCCAGAGCCCAACCACCGGTAACAACAAGGACGAGAAGGTTGGGGGATTGGGTGTTCCCTTTGCCTGCAGACCTCTGCCAGCCTCTGCCGCCCTCACAGATGGGCGAATGCACATGAAAAAGAGAGTTTGCAGGTCCTTGAGATGGGCAGGTTGCTGCTCAGCAGCCGGGTGTGCACCAGCTGGACGGCATCCATGCGTACCTCGTTGGAAGGCAGACCTGAGAGGGACGTGGGCTCTATCTATATGTGTATGTAATATATATTTTTTGTGTAGATACATCTGTCTATGCAACAACAGCATTTTTTTCAAGGAGCAAGCTCAGCGACCTCCCAGAGCCTGGCCCTTTTACGGTACCCACAGCCATTACAGTAGCCACGGACTGCCTCACGCTAGCCATCCCCGCTCTGGTGCTTTGTGCTGGAGCGCCGTGAGCAGCTGCCGGTACCGAGGCTGCCTCCCCTTCCCGCGGCACACCCTGCCAGTGTGAGCTGACACCGTTGGTGCCAGTCGGCTCGGAGGAGCCCCGCTCCCCACACTTCCCACTCCCACCAGTCTGTCACCACTGCCGTGTGGCAGAATTACTGCCTCCTGCTCTCCAGCACACCCGAGCACACAAAGAGCTGCGCTGCTGCTGCCAGCGCTCAGCTGCTCTGCGTATGCGGGAGAGGGAGGGTGCCTTGGAAAGGTCAGTGCAGGGAAGGAGGGCGATTCTGTCTCCTTCCTTTAGGGGCCGTATCCTGGCATCGCAGTGAAACCTCGTCCTGCCAGCTGATCCGTGTCCGCGGGGACTGCGGCCAGCGCGGGTGCCCCACATCGGAGGGCTCCCCAGGACGGTTTAGTACCATGTGCAGGTCCAAAGAGCTTCCCCTTCCCGTTCCCCGCTGAGCAAAATCATCTCAAATTATGAAAATTTAATTTCTTGATTGGTTGTGACTCCACTCTGGACTCTTCCCTTGTTTTTGTTCCTGGCCCGATTTCACTGGCAGCTTTAGCAGCACCACAGCAGCAGCCGCCCCTGCCCTGGCTACAGCAGGATCCTCCCTGGAGCCCTGTTTAATTTATCCCCCACATCCCCCCGCGCCCAAGGCAGCCCCGGGCTACTCTGCCCCCTCCAACCGCACTAGCCCCGAGCCGATCTCGTCACCCCTGTCACCCATCCCTGACACTAACTCAACTTGCCTGCACTGTTGTAGGGGGCAGATGGACTGTCGGAGCCCGAGGGCATCTCTCTGAAACGTGTGGCTGTGGTGGAAGATTTCTTTGACATCATATACTCGATGCATGTGGAGAGCTCGTCGGAGCCGGGCAAAGCACCCAAACATGCCGGGCAGAAGAAAACCTACCGAGCGGTGAGAGCCCCCCTCCGCGTGCCCTGGGCAGCGAGGGGACGGGAGCGAAGGGGCAGGGGGGCCTGGGAGCGGGCGCCCCGCGGGGACAGGCACAAGGGGTAGGTAGGAGCAGAGCCGCTGGCGGGAGGCAGAGGCGAAGGAGAGTCCTGTTTGCCTGTGCGGGGAGGCGTGAGAAAGGAGCCGTTTCAAAGCAGAGCAGCTGTGCTCGGGAGATGGGAAGCAGGGCTGCAGCGGCAGCACAGTGGTACGGCTGCTCCGAGAGACCCAGTGAATCACACAAAGGCAACTCTACATGTCTGGGGGGAGAAAAAAGGAAAAAAGAGAAATGCACGGTATTACTGATGGGCGAGGGGATGTTTGCCCAGGCCCCTGCACACCCTGCTCTCTGCCATCTGCCTCCCCGTCTCCCTCGGCCAGAGGAAAATGTCTCACGTGGGCCTCGAAGGGCAGGAGCAGGCAGAAAGGGGACTGGGGCCCGGCCGGAGCCCGGCTGGGGGGATGCTCTCAGCAGCCCGTGGCCGGGCTTCCTGCCTTACAAAATGGAGGCCGGCACTGAGCTGAGCCTCGTCAGGTGCTCCACGGATGCTGAGAACCAGCTCTAGCCATCCTGAAACCACTCTAGTTAGGTCAGGAATAATTTAGCTTGAAGTGTGCTTCTCCAGGGAGCTTGCTGTTTCTCCTGACTCTGCACAGCCCTTCGATGCAAACATTTGGGCTCTCCTTTTACAAGAAGAGCTGAATTTACTGTCCAAAACCGAGCTACTCCCTTGAATCCCACAACCTTAAGGACCAGGTCGCTTAGAGACAGAAGCTGGCAGCTCGTGTCTCTGGTGCATACATCATCCCGGGGAGGTCTGTGCCGGCTGCCCTGGTCTCTGCGATGATGCCTGAGATTATGCAGGGCTGGCTGTGCTGCCAGAGCCGGCTCAGGGGTGGAGCCTGTCCTGCCTGTCCTGCCTGCGTACGTCCTTGGGTCCATGCACGCTGCCCGCGCTGGCGCTGCTGGCGGGGCCCTGCAGCCCCATGGGGGGAGCCCCCGGCGCTGCGCAGGGCGCTGGATGCAGAGCTGGGGGCATCGCTCCGTGCCCCCCGCGCTCCACACCAAGCCCCCGCAGCACAGCCCGGGGCCGGGGCACACACTGACCCTCCCCGGCCGGGGGCAGGTGACCTCTTCCTAGTCCGGGGAGGGGGCAGCCCCACCAGCACGACCACAAGTCAAAGACTTTACGCTCATTTCCCCAGCAGACCGCGCTGGCCCTCCCCTAATTCCTTCAATTCAGCTCTCTGGAGGACTAATCTGTGCCCTGCGCAGCCCCGGGGGAGCAGGCTGGATCCGTCTGTTTTCCCAGGCCTGCTCGCAGCAGTCAGAGCTTCACGCTCCACCCCGCCGTCTCCCTCTTGAGCTGAGATCATCACATCAGCAGCCTCTATCCCCTCCTGACCTGGCAGGACGCTGCTGCCTGGGCTGCCTGCCCTCGCTCCTGCCCTGTCTCCCCGCAGCGCCTTTGCAGCCAGGTCTGGAAGGTGAAACGCTGCCTTGTGTACCCCGCGCCGCGGCTGGGGGCACAAAGGGACGCTGCTGGGGCCGCAGCTCGGGAGGCTTCGGTGTCCCCTGATGTCCCTCTCCCTCTCCCCACCGCTTCAGATTAGAGGCACTGGAGAGTTTGCCCTTGTCCATGACCTCCGGAGGGAGGCAATCAGAAAGGGAGTTTGGATGGGAGATAACTCATCAGGGAAGCTGTCTGCTCTGCAGAGCATCAAATCAGCTGAGAAGTAACAACTGTATCACTAAAATTAGCCGAACGTTTGCAGCAGGGACTGTGGGCTTGCTGGAGCAGAAGCAGCAGGGAAGCTGGGGCTCAGCCCCGCGGGCAGCGCGGAGGGCAGCGCCCCGCCTGCGCTGCAAAGCCGCGTTGGCCAGCAGCAATTTTCAGGGCCCTAATTTCGGGGTTTCTGCGGGAGTCCCTAGTGCCTGCGCCCTGCGCAACCTGGGCAACCCTGCTCAGGCACCGCAGAGCGCGGTGGGGCTGCGGAAGGCGAATCCCGTGAGGACCAGGCGCTGCATCCTCCATTTGAGCGGCTGGGACAAGGTCCCTGCCTGAACTTTCCACCCATCTGGCATCAGGCTGTGTAAAACCTCGGGCTCTGCTGCCGCTCAGTGGAGACCAAAGTCTTTCCCTCCCGCCGCAACGTCGGGTCACGGGGCTGCTTCAGCCATGAGCGAGCAAACCCTCTGCCCCCTGCCCCATCGCGCTGCTGCCGGAGCGTTCTTTTATTCCAGGCTTAGGCATCACCCCTTCCTGTCGAGTAGAAAATGCTTGGAATTTAGGTATTTTTATTTTTTGTTAACAAAATAAGGTGGGAGGGTGATGCCCGCTGGTCAGAGGAGGGGGACGGGGACGTCCCTGCTGCCCTCCTGGCTCGGCCCCTGTCGCCAGCCCTCGCTGGCGAGGTGTCTGGTTGCAGCCCTGCTTCCCGTTCCGAGCCCCGCTTCTGCCGGGCTCACAGCCCCGAGGACCGGCACAAACAATCGAATTTCTGTCTGCTTTATGACCCCACTTGTAAGTGCTGTGACCCCTGCTGGGGTCACGGCCCCTGGTTTGGGAACCGCCGTGCTAGGACAAGTCGCTTAGACCAAACAGGATGGGTGATTAACCGTAGGAACCAACCCCAAGTAAGAGGTGGGCTCTCCACCTCTTAATGCCTCCAATTAAGACCAGATGTCTTCCTGGAAGATGTTTTAGGCAAACCACGGGCTACTGGGCTGCAGGAGAACCCAAGTGAAGTTCCCTGACTTGGGCTACACAGAAGGTCAGACTCCCTGGTCTGATGGTCTCTTACGGCCTTAAAGAAACCTGCATTAAAATTGCCTCGTTCCTCCTCCGAGTAACCTCGTCTTGATCTTTAGGAATACTGTAAAATCGCTGCTGGCAGGGATTAATTGGAGTAATAGGACTCTGTGGTAGCCAGGCACCTTCTGTGGGTGCTTAGTTCTGAATACAGTGTTTAACTTCAAGCATTCGGGTTTTGAGTATTCATCCTTAGCTTTGCCTCAGCTGTAAAACACAAATATCCCACAAAGGTTCAGGAGACTTAATTCATTACTGTTTGTAAAAATGTTTTCAATTCCCTGGATAAAATATGTCACAGAAGTGCGAAGTATTATTAACTATTATTGATTGTCATTGTGGGAAAAAGTGACCTGCCCTTACAAGAGATTAATGGATTCTTCAGGTTACTGGTGCGATGGTAATTAACAATGCAAACAGAGCTGACGAGAGTTGACTTTCTCATCTGATTCTTCCACGTTCGTCGCGTCGCTCTTCCCAGGCTCCAAGGGGGAACAGAAAGGAGTTTCTGGGAAGGAGCGGCTGCGCAGGGAGGCCGGAGGTCTGTTGGGTTGCGCCTCGGTGCCTCCCTGACACGCCACTTACGCTCCCAAAACGTTCCTCCGTCAACACTTGCTCCAGAGGGAGGGAGCGGGGGGTCCCGGGGCCTGGCTGCGGGGAAGGCGGCGGCACTGCGAGCCCTTGGTGTTGGTGCTGGGCCGAGCCGCCAGCTGGGGCACGGCGGTGGCCTCCCGCGCCCTCCGCCCGCCTCTCCCTTAGCCAGCCCCCCTGCCCAGGACATACAGCCTCTCGTTGTCTCCCCAGATTGCAGAGACCTATGCTTTTCTCCCAAGAGAAGCCGTGACCAGGTTCCTGATGAGCTGCACCGAGTGCCAGAAGAGGATGCATTTCAACTCCAACGGACTGGAGCCCAAAGGTAAAGGCAGATGAATGCTGCCAGCAGAGCTGACGCAGCGTTTCGTCCCGGCGCGGCAGCACTGATAGCTGTCAGGATACTGCCCCGTCGATGAGTTACTTCTTAACCTAATGGTTTTCCTAACCTGTGTTATTTTTCATGCACTTTTATTAGCCAAGATGAAAGAATCGCAGAAATCTGGTTCGCCTGTCACTGATTTCAGCTTAGAGAGCAGAAGCAGTCTAGCTTGCTTTCCGAGCTTCCCCCGAGCACCCTCACAAACCTCGGGTCAAAAATATTGCAGATATATCTGCAATCCACCTGCAGTCATCTGTGGGCGGAAACTTGGATTTCTGAGAAAACGGGATCTAAAGTTTTTCCTTTAAACTATTAATTTTGTAATGAAAGACACTGAACAGGTCTGGATAACTGAAATTTCTGATAAAGAAGCAATGTACAGTCATTAATAGAGATGCACATCATGATCCTATTTTTGATAACAAAGTGTTTTAGTCATCAAAGTCCCGTTATGCCTGTGTATACAAGCAATTAGTGTGGCCGTCGTGGTGATTAGCTCATTGGGGTGCTTTTGTAAACAGAACCAAGCTGCAGCTCCTAGGCCTAAAAGATACAAGCGGTGCGTAAGATGGGACCGGGTTTTCTTCCAGGGGGAATGGTTAAAGTTGACGTTTGTGTGGGTTTTCTTCTGAATTACAAACTTGTTTTCACGATCAAGTGCAAAGCATCAGACTGACTCTGGGAGGTTTCATCCGACAAAATGACTTATTTAAAAAAAAAAACCCGAGCAAATTGCAGAGGGTTAGACTCTTTCCAAACTATTAAGGCAAGCAGGCTCGTTTGGCAGCGCTTATCAAGCAGAGGAGTAGAATTAAATGAACAAAGGACCCAACAATACAAAATTTCTAGTATTAAATACCGATTTCTGACTGTTTACTGCTAGGAGCAGAGCTACGGACAGCCCCGAGGTTCCGTTTAAGTGGATTATGTGTGCCAGCTATCCAAAGCCAGTGACTGAAATGCTTTGTACTCGTTACATTTTTTAGAAACTCTCCCAAATAATCCCGTGTGACATTTATTAGCCCAAGCTCCATTACCGCAGCACTTCCCGCCCCGCCGGCTGAGGGCCCGATCCCTCTTGCCAGTTAGGTCAAGAGAAGTTTTGGCCTTTGGCCTCGCTGGGAGCGAACGTGACCTTTACAGTGATTGCGCCGCATCCATCACCAGTGGCACTCCCAGGCAGGGCTGGAGAGCGGCTCGAGGACGGGAAGGGCGGCGGGATGAGTCAGGCCAAGGATGTCGCCTGTAGGCTTGACCCAAACCAGGACTCTGCTGAAGGCCTGGCTCTAAGGGAGCTGTCCTAACCGAGCTGTCCGCCCCTTGGCATCCCCTTTCGGGAGGCAGCTGATGAAAAGGGTCATTGTTCCTTCAGGGACTCCCACCCGCCCTCCCTGCATCTCCTGAACAAGTTTATAAATTAATATCAGTTACTTCCATAAAGCTTTCCCCCTTTGCAGTTCTCTGAATTCAAACAGGAAAACAAAGGATCCCACAGGTGAAAAGTCCTGCTTCTTACCCGCCAGGAATGGAAGGAGAGATGTGCCTTCTGCTCTGAACAGGACCTAAATAGTGACTAAGTACCTGTGAAAATGCATAGAGCAGATTAGATAAGGTCACTTTTGCTGGGGAGGAGTGTCTGATTTCACTAATACATATTCAGAAATTTATCAGGAGCAAATCACTTGAAAAAACATCGGGGTCATAGAAGAATCACCTAGGTGTACACACATACAGGCATACGTAGGTAAAGTTTAACTCAGTACCATGAAAAAATTCGAGTCGTTCCCGTCTCTTCCCCCCCCCGCTTGTCCATCAGACAAATCTCAACACATTTCATTTGTGATCACAAAAATCCCTAATTAAACATATCTGACATCAAACCCTGCAGGGCACCCACAGAATTCATAAAAGCAAATTGTCTCGCTCATGGGAAACTCTGAACATCCGTGGAGTTCGCTGTGATCTCTTTACACTGTTATTGAATTAGGACTAATTCCGGTGGAGTTGTACAAGTGTGGAATTAGGATCCAAACCGTTTTACTTTAAACCATTCTGCCTGTTCCGTCTCTACGCCCAACACACGGGGCATGGAATATAGATAAGTTTCTGAAAAATGAGCTGAAGGATTCCAGTAGCCCCCTCTTGTGACGTAGGATATGAGGATTGTTCCCATGGAGTCCCCCAGGCCTTTTAAAACAAAGGTTTTCTTTCTTTTCCAGTTAGCTTAAAAAAGAAAAAAAAAAAAGGTTTTGGTTTCTTAGGCTCAAGCTCTTATCTCTTGCAGTTGCACAAATTCACAGTAAATTTGTGGCTGCTAATGGGATTATTCCAGATTTACATCGGGATAGTTTCAGGCAGAATCTAAGCACTGGAGACCCTCCGCCTCCCTCTTCCTGCCCCTGTGAGGATGCTGCTGCTGCTGAGCCTGGTTCCTTGTTGCGGCATGGGGGCTGGCAGGAGAGCAACACCGCATCCTCAGAGGCCCCAGGGACTCGCCTCCCCATGCCTGGGCTTCAGGGAGAGAGCAGCTCTTTTGTTAGCAGATGTTTTCCTAAACTCTTCTCAAACACTGAGGACCCCCACCAGCCCGGGTAGGCGGCAGATTTTGTTCCTGGGAGCCATTTCCCCTTTTGCCGCTGCGAGAAGCTCCCCTTGCACTGGGATTGTAGCATCTTTTCATCACAAAGTGACCTCCTTGAACAGCAGGACGATGGGTTATTCTGAGTGCTTGTTGTATAGAGACGTGGAAGTGCTCTTAATGAATCTGTAGGTCGAAGCACGGCAGAGTCCACCGACATGCAGCTGTGAAAGAAGGGAGGGATTAGTCTACAAGGCTCCTAAAATCTCCGCACCCCCCTGTGCGAGCGAGCTGCTGAGCACTGGTGGCCTGAGGAGCTCTGCCCGCCTGCCCGGGGCGGGATCAGGTGGGCCTGGAGAAGAAGCTTCGTATCTCCTGTTGGTGTCTTGATACAGGAGATTTGCAAAGACCTGTGTGATGCTGAAGTCAGTTACAGACAGTTTTTGGGTCGGGTCATTTCTTAATTTCCAGAGGTGTGAAGCGCCTGCAGGTCTGCTGAGTTTCACTGGGATTTTTTTGCTATTCAGTGTTTCTGAAAAGCAGGGCCGTTATGTTTGGGTTGGTGGGTTTTCTGAGGTGCTGTAAAACATTTGGTGAAGGCTCTTTTTCAAGGGGCTGTGTCAGAGGTGCCTGTGAAACCACTGACCCCAGGAAATGCAAGCCAGCCAGGGAGATTCAGAGACAGGGATGGAAACCTCCTCCCATCCGTTCACCTTCAGCTCCTGGAAATCCTGCTGCCCTGTCCAGTGCTGCTTCAGCCGCCTTTCCAGTGGACACCACAGGTCCCTTCAGAGTGAGCTGGAAGGCTGGATTAATTCTCCACGCTTGCATCTGCCTGTACTGAGGGCAAAGAAATCTTCCTTTGAGGCAGCAGCCGTCCCCCTGGGAAAGGGCAACTTTCCTCTCGGACAAACCCGTTGCACGAGCCTGTAAGTTCAGTGTTAGAACAGGGAATTCCAGAAGCCTTTGTCTCCTGCGTGGAGAGCGCGCAGGCTCCACGCTGATGGTGGCAGAGCTGACAAATCCTTGAGAATTCAGAAAAAATCATTGAGAATTTGCTTTCTGGGGACTCTTCTGGTCTGGCTAGACAAAAGGATCTGCAGGAGCGGTCTGAATGTAGAGCGATCTCTAGAGCTCAGTGTGGTGCAGGCAGAGGAATCAACAGGAACAATTTAAATTAAAGATCTTTACAATTAAGTTTGTGTTTTAATGAGGGTGTTAAAAATAATCTTCATCACCAGATAGAGATACTTAATAAGTTGCCTTAATGTTAACTCCTACCTGAGGGAATCCCAGCAAAATTGGCAAGACTTCGCAGTGCTAAAGCGAGCTGCAAATATATTCCTGTTCATCAACCTCTGCATAAATCCCATGGGCGTGGAAGTGCTTCTGAGGCATCGGCAAGACTCGGTTTCTCCCTCTGCTACGTTCTAGTTTGGTAGACTGAAAAATTATGTATTATGTGTAGTCTTTTCGGCAGGTGACAGCCATGCTTTTTTTTTTTTTTTTTGCTAAACAACATCTGTTCTGTAATTATGTTCTTGGTGGGGTCGTGTTCTTCTAGGAACCTTAGCTCAGCGGGCACCAGCTCTCGCTGGGGATTGGAAGTGCTTCTAAATACATATGTTTAATGATTATGAGGACACATCACAGGTTTGTGCTTCCACATCCCTGTATCTAAATAAAGTTTTCCCTCCGTTCTCCAGAGAGCGAACCACCTTCCTCGTTGGTTTCTGGGATCATTGACTACAACATGCCCCTCACCTCTACTTACCTGAAGCAGATGAAGCTGCGGGTGATGAACTCACAGGAGCAGGTGAGTTGCGCTCCGGGCGTGGGGCGGGTTTGTGCTGTGCTTGGCACCTGGATTTCTGGAGGATGCTTTTGGAAGTGACCGGTTTGCCCAGGCAGGGCGGTCCCGGGCTCTGACCGAGTCCGGGAGTGCTGGTGCCTGGCGGGCGGGCAGGCAGCGTGGCTCTGACCTGCTGGCTCAGAGAAAGCGAACGGGGCTGCTGAGAGTCGCGTCAGCGGAGATGGAGCGACGCAGTTATTGCTTAGACCGGTCTGCTTGTTCTATAGCTGCACAGTTCCTCTAAGAAATGGTCTTAAAAATAAATATGGCAAATAGGAATTTATTTCTTTACCTAATTGCCTGGGAGCTTTAGCAGACAGGCTCTGAGACCCAGGCCTCCCTCCGGTTGCTCCAGTGCTCTCAGACTGGCCGGCAGCTTGGGGAAGTCCAACCGCAGCCGCTCTGCTCTCGTGTCGGGGTGGGAGAAGGCTCAGTTGGCTGATGAGAGCGTTAAGCCACTGGATTTTGATTTGGGAATTGATGGGGCAGGCTGCCACAGGATTATACCCAGGCTGTGCAGTTTTCTGAAGTTCTGCAGCTGCAGAATTAGCTATGGGAACCTCTGTGCACCATGGAAACAGTCTATAAAAAGAAAAGTATGTTTTACTTGCTCCCCACAATCTGCACTGGAAGCCAGTGCTGGATTTTCTTTCCAGCACACTGAAACCTGAATCTGGTCTCATACGTTACTGCCAGTTGCAAGAAGTGAACGAGTTTGCATTGTGTGGTGGTGGAAAACATTGCTGGTAGCTTGAGCCGCGCGGTTGTGCCCATCAGGTGCTTTTATCTAGTGGCACCCTAAAGGGACGTTGGCGAGAGCACCCAGTGCCAGGGTATAAAGCGCCAGCTGTGGCTTTGCTGTCAGGAGCTGCAGAGATAGCGAGCTCCACCGCTTCAGCAGCGAAACCTTCCTGCTGGCAGACAGAATGGCACCCGTCAGCAAGCACCTCTGTGCTCCGGAGCTTTGTTCCTTTGCGTGTGTCTGACACTTGAGGGGGTTTAAGGTTTTGTGTGCAGTAGGTTATGGTACCTGAAGGGCCGTGATGTGCCAGGTCGAGTGGTCAAACTATGGATGTCTCTGGGGGGCAGCTGGGCTGGGCTGGGCTGAACTGGGCTGGGGATATGGAGTGGATGGACGCGCCGCTTTGTGGCATCTGCTGGCTGCTTCAGGACCACTTTTGGATAAAGAGCGTCGAAGGTTGACGTATTCCAACGGCCTCTGGCTTGTGCAGAGTGTTTGCTGGGGCTCGGTGCAAGGCCCCGCTGAGGTTGCCACCCTGCCCCGTCCGTGCCGCTGACGACCCTCCTGCTCCTCACCAGGGGCACGGGCTCAGCGGGCCGTGAAGGCCAACCGTGCTCCTCAGCATCTGGGGGGTCCTTTCGAGTTAAGGTCGATGTATGCAACAGGACGGTCCGAGAGGTTTGTCTAGTTACCATTGCTGCATTTTCCCCCAGTTCCTCTTGGCTCCAGAGCTCTGTTTGAGAGAATGTGTTACGAAGCTTCATTAAACTCCTGTACCCCGTTTCTACACGTAGAAAACTGGACTTGCAGTTTGATTTTATTTCCATAATAAAAACCACCCCGGAATATGGCAGGCTTTAGTCCTGACTCTTGAGTTTCGAAGCTGCACGCGTAGGGATGCTTGTTTTGAGAACTTTGGTTGGTCACTTTGGGATCTGAGAAGTTTATACCCAGAATTCTGGTTTAGAGTTCACCCAGGAACTATCACTGGCAGAGTAGATACAACGTGCTGCTGACAAGAGTCCGCTTGACGCTCGCTGAGATCGGAATAGAGGCGTGTGTCATGTGGGAACAAAAAAGGGACCAGCTGAGGCAACCAGCGGTTGTTGGTTTAGATCATAAATCAAACGGCTTGATGTTATTCCCTGCCTCTAAAGTTTTTCTTTTCCTGAGCTCTCATCAGTATGTTGCAGTGCAGCTTTCTAAGCTTTTCAAGCTGTAGTAGCCGAGGGAAAAAACTATTTGGAAGAAGTAAAATTTGCCGTTCAGCGTGTTACCGAAACGGATTCCTGAGAGCAGAGTAACAAAAGTTCACTCCTATTGCTCAGACTTCTGAAGCGTTAAAGCTTTCCGCCAGACCTGGAGGTACTGACAGCCTGGAGGGGATGGACCCGGTGGGGAGAATCCGGTGGACGCGGGCGCCGGCCGGCCCGAGGTGTGGGGTGCCCGGCTCCCCGGGGGCGCGAGCGGGGGCTGCTGATGCCAGAGTCTCTGAAGAAAACATCTGTAATAGTATCAACACCAGGCTTTAGTTCCCTCCACCAAGCTTTCCCCTGCTATTTTTTTCCTTCTTCCTACCACCCTTTTCCCCAGAGGGCCCTGGCAGTGGTTGTGGAGCGTGGGCTGACGGGCTGCTGCTCTCCCTCGCCCAGGCAGGGAGCTTTGGCCTTAGGGACCGGCAGCTCTTGGGGTCCCAGGTGTGTCTAAACTGCACAAGTCCTCTGAAGATGATAGAAATCATTCTGACTTTGCTACAGATGCAAAAGAGGAAGGAAATACAACCTGTTGGTAAAGTTTGCAAACAGGAGCCGCGTGGGTTTTACGTGACACCGTTTACAGAACAATATTGGTTCCTCCCAAGCTCAGCGTTGCTGCCGAGCCCCCTTGTTGCCCCGCACTCCCTAACCTTTGATGGGGGTAATAGAGATAAATTAAGCAACGGGCTTGTGTTTGACTTGGCTTTTGCCAAAAGCAATTATTTGTGTGCAGCAGCACCAGGAGGAACTTGCTACACTTGGGGTAACAATGGATGAATTTATGCCAAAGTGGCCTTTTAACTTCATTATTCAGGAAAAAAAAAAAAAAAAGTGCGTGTAACTGTAATGTATTAGTGCTGCTGAGCACGTCAGTGTGAGGGCAGCAGCGTCTCCAGAAGGAAGCACAGCCAGGAGAACCTTAGAGAAAGCATTTTATCTCCGCTTAGGGACAAAGCACAGTCAGGAGAGGAGCTCTTTACATGGTTGCTCACCAAATGAAGAGTTCCTGCAGCACATATTTCAGTACGTTCCGTGGAGTCAGTACATTTATTCTGGCATGACGGAAAACAACTGTGACCCATGTTGCTTAAATTGAGTGTGCTGGAACATGCAGGAGCTTCAGGGGCGTGAGTCTTCCTTCACTCCCATTTTATGCCAATTCTCTCATGTCTGAGAAAAATCAGGCCCCTCACCCTTTCCCCAGAGCGCCACATTAGCCACGTTTCAGGGTATCTACTGAGGCATTAAAGCATCTCTGAACTTCTGACCTTCCCAATCTAGCAGAAGAAAGGAATGAAAAGAAGATACTCGATATTTATCTGTAATGATCCTTCCACCTCATTTTCAGAGGCTAAATATTAACATTTTTAAATGATTGCTTATTTTGAGTTCATTGCAGGCATTTTCCAGACAATCTTTTCTGTCTTATTCAAACTCAGCCTTGGATTTATTTTTCATGCCACACTGTTGGGCATGATTTCCACTGGTGGCTGGTGGGATATGAAGATTTTAAAAGCACAAATCCCAGCACTGAAATGCCGGGCTCGTTCTCTTGTTCTGGAGATGTTGCTGCTACCTTGGCAGACACGGTCCAGGGCCAAGTAAGCAGGTTCAAATGATACAGAAACATTTTCAAAGGTTGCTTCAAATGACTGCTGACAGAAGGTCACGCAATCAGTGAATGGCAGGAGCTGCTCTTGGATGGGAAATAACACGAGTGCTTTTCTTGTTGCTATGGCTTTGCTACGCTGACTTGTGTTTGAGAGGGACGGAGCCTAGTCCTGCACCATCACACACTCCATCCCTCCAGTAATTTCCCTGTAAAGCTGGAACGTGTGACAGCGTGTGGATGTGAAGGGGTTTTCGAAACGCGATTGCGAGCAGTGCTTTAACCCAAACAGGGGGTGATCCTGGAGGGGGGACGCGGGGGTTCAAAGCCCACGGGTGCACAGGGTTCCTCTCATGCCGGTGAGGATCGAGCCTCCTCTGCAGGATTTGGGAGCTCACGGAGCCTCGTGACCAGAGGCTGGTTTGCAGCATTAAGTTCTCCTCCTTCCACTCTGACTTCTCCCCGGTCCGCACATAATTGTGTTTGCTCACTTCAGTGTCTCCGAAGGCCCCGCTATTACCAGAACAGCTAAGATGCATCTTCCCCTGGCAGCTCGCTTGCTTCCTTCTGCTTCAGATCCATCTCCAGGCGGGTCCTGGGGGTGCAGAGCTGGCACGGGGGAGCCAGGGAGGGGAGCAAGCGGCTGCAGAAGAGGGCACGCTAGATTTTCATTTTCAGTCATGAGAGTTCGCTCGTGAGAATTGCAGACATCTCATTTCACGTAGTTCCGAGACGAGAACCACATCTGGCAGAGCTGGCAGCTGCTGTGTGAGATCCGGGACCTGGATTTATCTGTTCGAGCGCTTAGGGAAGGGATCCCAAAGAAACACTCTGTGTGTTCATAGACGTGCAGAGAGGGCAGAAGCATGCAGTCAGTATTTGGAAGGAAGTGGGATGATGCGTTTGCATCACATGAGGATGATAAGGTACTTCCCAGTCCATTAAAGAGGGTGTTAAAGATCTCCAGGAATAAATAGCTCTAAATCAACTTGATGAGATAACTCTCATTCAAGAGGCCTTTCCTTGGCTTGGGAAGATCTTTGTTGCCTGATGTGAATTTTTTAGAGCACTAGAGAGGTTTCCTAAATGCACCCTCAGACACAGAGGAAAAGGGAGTTGTGGCCGTACGGAGCGAGGCGCCGGGACCGTGGCTGTTGCCGTGCAGATCTGATCTGGGCGCTGGGGCCGGCTCATGGCTCTGGTGGAGCTGCAGCTTCTGCTGGCGGGAGCGAGCTCTCCCCGGTGAACTGAAATCCTGTCCTAAATGAGAGAGACTTCGGCCAGGCCAGAGCCGGGGAGGCAGGTCCGGCCAGCGGAACAGCCTCCCTTACTGGCAAAGATAGTTTTAGCAAAACTC